AGGCAGCTTATGCACTGGGAGCCCTACCTCCACCAGAGTCCCGGAATTGTATGGGTGTAGGTACGTAGGCGCCCACAAACCCCGACTTCCACTAAGTATAACCCCTGCCATCTTTAACTCTGTTCCTGCCTTGGTCCTTGCCTCAGTTCCGGTCAGTGCTTCATTTTCCCCCTTGAGCTCTGCTCGATCTGAGCTGGTTGAGCTATGGCCCTAACACCATGCGTGGCCCTGTCAACCCTCCTCTTCTCTTGGAATGCAATCCCTTGGAAGCTCTGAGCCTCACTGTGGCCCAGATAGCCCTGTCGCCTGACCCACCAGCAGACTGCCCTGCCCTGGCTATCAGCAGCAGGGTGAATCGGATCCCCTGTGATAGTTGCAATCTATAACACAGAGCATGGGCCATCTTAGGGGACATCTGTGGTTCCAGATAAGGGCACTGGATTTGAGCCTGTCTGGGTTCAGTCTCGGCTTCACCGTATCTCTGCTCCGTGATCTTTCTTGGTCAAGTTATTTCATCTCTCTGGGCTTCAGTATCTGTGAAATGGGGATTTTCATAGTATTTAACTCATAGGATCATTGTAATGATTAGGTGAGGTAACAGATGTTCAGCTCTTGGCTTTGCCTGCTATGCAGTAAACCTTGGTAAGTGGTAGTTGTTGTTGGAAGTTTATCTGCCTGGTCATGGCTCGTTCTTCCCCTGGAGCCCATTCCTGGAGGTCTGGTCACTGCATGTGATAGTTCTGTCTCATAGTTCTTGGGTTGTGGTTACCTCTACCACTGTGGAATGAAATTATATTAGCTATCAATGGTCCAGTAACTAATAATTGCCTGATGTTTTACACTTCACAAAATACTTATTATACATTCTCTTAAATAGTGTCCAAGGCCCAGTGCCGTCTCCCAGTGGTTGTAGCATGCACCATCCTCCCACCATCTAATCCTGGATTAGAACAGGCCATTCTGATCCAATATGTAGACCCTTGCCTGTCTTTGTCACTGTCTGGCTTGACACTCATGCCAGCTGTTCCCTCAGTACAGCCCTGTCTGTTGGAGTCCTCATCTGTACCTACGGTCAGGCCAGTGCTGTCCCCTACCAACAGAGGCCCATGGCACCTCCTTAGGAAGGCTCCTCTCGGCACAATGTTCCCTCTCTCAGAGCCTGCAGAATTCACCATGGAAAAAGTGTTCTTTGAGATTTCAGGTGTTGTTCTCCAAATCCCCACTTTAAAATTCACATTTCTCCATTCATCCTTTTGTTCATAAACTTATTCATTTAGTAAATGTTCATTGAGAGTCTATGAAGTGTCAAGACTTGGCTAATTTTTGGGAATTCAAAGTGGAAGAAGATAGGGTGCTCGCCTACAAGTGATCTTGTAGCCTAAGGGGAGACAGACAAGTGCATCAGTAAGTGCCCCTCAGAGTGCTGAGTTGGAAGGATGTAGGTGGGGCTGTGAGGTCACACCGAAGTGCCAACCATGTCAGACTGGAGGCCAGGGGGGCTTCCTGGAGGAGGCGATTCTTAAAGTGAACTTTGTGGGATGAATAAGAGTTAGGCCAAGAAGGTTGTGGCATGAAAAGCAGCATAAAAAGCTATTGGCTGTAAATGCCTTCCTATAAGTTAGCATCTTCAGTTACTGTGTTCACAAACTGGGGGGCAAACAGCATTGGAACTTGTGCTACTTGTGTGACTTCTTGATCGCCATGGCGTCGAGCTAGGTGATTTTTGGTGTTTGCCATCTGAAAGGTTCTCTGGTGCTGCCTGCTTCAGACAGGTTTGATTTTGGAGCAATAGGCCTCTTCGAGCCAACTCCTTTCCTTTGTAATGAAATGTCCAGGATGTAGTCTTCCCTTCTCTGTTCCCTTCCTCCTTGGTCACTCACACTTTAACACTTCTTTCCCCTCTTCTGACCTAAAGTGATCTCGATCTCACCATCACTCTTTCTTAGACGTATCATCTGTGTAAATTTCACAGTGTCAGGCAGGGTTTTTCCTTGGATCTTGATTTGCAGGATACAGTGCTCTCCTGGGCCTCCTGGCTCCTCTCGGTTTTGTTCTTTGTGGTCGCTCTATAAGCAGGTTCCCCATGACTCTGGTCTCTCTCCCCTTTGTCTCTTCCCCTCATTCTGTTTTTAGTTCCTCTAATCCCCGTATTCATAGTTCTGCCTCTTTCCTGCTCTCCCTTAAAATCTCGTTCACTGCCACAACTTAAATAATTCACACATTTGTCTCTATCCTTGACCTTTGTCCAGAGGCCTAATCCTTTATTTGCTTGCGATTGTGTGCTCAACACCTACAGCATTTCTTATTCGTGCTAAAGCATCAACGATCTGAAAGTAGATGCCTCAGTCTCACCAGAACCCATCTTCCATACGTTATTTTCCCATTTAAAGCCATTCCCATTCTCTCAGTCACCCATAGTTGTCTTTGACTGTTAAATTCCAGGGATGCTACTTTTGCACTGACTCTTGCATTTGGCCACACTGAGGGTTCTCATCTCGCTATGCTTACGTTGTCATGGAGCCTGTTAACTTGTCAGTTAAGAGCAGGCACTTGTCTCACTCATCTTCACTTGCCACTTGGTACCCAGCACAGTGCCTTACCCAGAGGAGGCCCTCACTCTTTGTTCAATGAATGACTGTCAGTTAAGTGTTTCGATGCTTTTCTTGCATTTCATGAACTATTTGTCATTGAACGTATTTGCCATCACTCATTCTCTTAATACTTTTATTCTTAACCAGGCAAACACTAGAATAAAATTTCACACACACAACTTCAACTATGGTATTTCTGCTCTTTTTCAGGAAGAGAAATTAGTGGAGGGTGCATGGGTCAGGAGTATTAAATTAACTCTCCTTCTTAAAAGCCAGATATAGTACATAGGCTTATGATGCTTTCATGGGAATTTTTGGTAACTTACATCTCCCTTTATACATTGATTTTTCTGCATTTTCTCTTCTTTATTTTTAACAGGTTTTCAACATGGAAACTATCACAGTGACATAAGATGCTATTGATAGTACATCAATGTGATTCAGCTATTCCCCTGCCCAGCAGAGTGTGGCTGCTGTGTGCACAGCCGTGTAATACATATTAGTTACACAGGCATTAGAGAAGCCCTTCCCATCCATATGTATGTGCGTGGCCTGTGGAAGTTAATAACGCCGTATATCACATGCACATAGAATGTAAAATGTACTCCAAAATGACAGCGGGCTCATATAAAATGAGTATTGGCACAGATTAAAAGAAACCAGGGAAAGATTTTTGTCCTTTCAAATATCAGATTTATTTGTCTGTTTCTGTGTGTCTCAGCATCCCAGACTCTCATTCTGCCTTTTTCCTTTTTATGGGGAGGGTCAATATATGCCCCTCTCTCCAGCCATCTTATTTCACTTTAGCCACATGGATAACAAAAGAACCCCTTTGGAGAAATGAAAGATAGCAATTACACATTGGTATTCATGTTACAGGAGTCACGCTGCCGTCCTCAGGGAGTTTAACAATGAATATCCAACATTAATTGCCACAGTAACTCTGAGTCTGACCTTGCTGAAATGTAATACATCAGTTTTACATAGTAAGATTATTTGCCACTGAAAGATTAAAAAAGAATGATCATGAAATTATATCTCTGTTTAGACTGACCAATATTTTTTGTTTTTAAGAAAATCCTGGAGGACTTAAATGACTAGGTTGCCATATCTTCTTAGGATTTTACACCAGGAGGTAAAATCTCAATTTTATCACTGATTTGATTGGCAATTATGGCAAGATTAGTGCCCTGCTTTTCTTATAAAAGGTGAATAAAATACATTGACATCCCTGATTGGTCTGTGGAACCAATTAATAAGGCACAGTGGATATGGTACTTTTTATCTATTAGGGGCGGGGATATCCTTCTCTTTTATGTTTGTTCCTAATTACAGGTAAGATTTTCTGTCAGCAGCACATGTTTCCCTTTTTAAAGAGGTGACATCATTTTGAAGATTTAACTTTTCTTTAATCTTTTGCTCCCATCATCAGAAATAGATAAAGCTCGATTTTCTTACATGCATCTTACAGTTCTTTTTTCCTGGGCTACCTCACACTTACTGGGTGTTGCACACTGGGGGAATTTCACACTAAACACTCTGGAGGTGTTTTCATCACTCAGAGTCGGAGCCACACTGCTGGGTCAGCAGCCAGCCATCCTCTGTGACAGAGCCACGTCAGCGGGCCACACTCGCTCTGGGCTGTGGAAGCTGTGTGTGCAGAAATGAATGATGGTTCAGCCGTCTCTGCTTTCTACAGAGAGGCTGAGGTGAAGAAAGGGCACTCACCCGTGACATCCGAATTTCAGCCTAGATGAGATTCTAACTACAGTAGAGCCATTTTTGCTTGTGTTCTGGCAAAAACAAGTACATGATAAATTTGCAGGCCATCTCAAGTCTGAAAAAAAAAATTGAGCTGAATGATCAATGGGTAGTTTTTTGCCTACCTTTTAAAACAAGGCTGTGAAGTAAATAAATATGATGTGTGTCAACTACAACTACTGCATATGGCTTACTCATTGTTTTAATGCTTAAATAATGCAGGTTTTATATGATTTTCCCGTTTTAATACAATGTTTAATAAACATTCACCAGGTGAAAGAGACTATAGCACACATTCAATTAGTATGTTGTGCTTTTTGAAACTTTGAACTTTGTATTCTCTAATACAAATTGTTTAGGTAGTTTTAAGAGTAAACTCTGAAATCCCACCTCCACTTTTTTTTTTTTTCCTGTTTCCTTTAAAGTACTTATGTCTCTCCAATGCTTTATGTTTCAGTAAAACTTGAGCCTGGATATCCTACTATTAGAGGGCGATTTTTGACCAGACTCTTAATTTATTTTGACTCTTTAAAGAAATGATGCTAAAGCAACTCTAGAAAATGCAGCTTTCGTTAGCTCGTTTCTTTTCTTTTTAATTCTCTCTCCCTTTTTCCTTCTCTCATCCGTCACTCCCCTCCACAATTAAAGCAGGATGATGAAGTGGCGACTGTTCAAGTGAAGGAGCAAGACCAGAGCGTGCTGGTGCTGAAGAGAGTGCAGTGCTGTGGCCCAGCCCCCACAGCTGGGAGCCCGGAGAGCCATTGCAGGTGAGAGTTTCCCTGCAGCCACAGAGGCACGCGCTCCCGTCTCCTTCTCCCTGCCTTCCCTTCTCGCTCGCTCTCTGCCTCCTCTGCCCTCCCTCCCTCTCTTTTCTCTCCGCCTCTCCAGCGTTCTAGCTGACTGCAGAGCTCTTAGCAGCCAGATGGACTCAGTTCCTAGTGGAAGGACCGGGATGGCAAGATCTTTTAGCATTTAAGGGGATGCCTTTGTTAGTAACGGCTCACAATGGGCAGCTCCCGGCTGAGGGTCTTTGACCCTCATTTAGAGAGGAAAGATCCCGCGGCACTCTCAGACCGAGAGCTGCCCTTGCCTACCTTCGATGTGCCTTATTTCAAATACATCGACGAGGAGGATGATGATGAATGGAGCAGCCGCTCGCAGTCTTCCACCGAGGATGACTCAGTGGACTCTCTGCTCTCTGACAGATACGTGGTAGTGTCCGGGACTCCGGAGAAGATTTTGGAGCACCTTCTGAATGACTTGCACCTGGAAGAAGTCCAGGACAAAGAAACAGGTAAGGTACAGAGTGTCTCTCCTGCTTTCAGACTCGCGGCTGCCGATGCCCTTGTCCTATCCTCAGGGGCACAGCTCCCACTGTTAGCTGAAACCAGGGTGGGGTGAAACAGCATATGCTTTGTGTGCCTTGTCCTTTGCCTTGTACCATTTTGTTTAAATCCAGTAAATGGACACATGTAGTTCCCAAGCAGCTGCCTGGGAAGTAGCTGTACAAAGAAGATGATATGAAGGCAGATGTTCTTGATTCCCTGGCAATTTTTACCAAATCTCACCTAAAGGCAGTTGGCAAGAGGCCAACATTCACTAGCCCATGTTCAATGGAAAGAAATACAGGGGAGGAGGGTTAGCAGGCATTCACCTGGCATGTGGGAAGTGCTGAGCTGGGGGGAGTAGCCTCCCTGCCCAAATGTCAACAATTAATGCAACTACTCAGCAGCTACATGTTTAGCAGCAACTTCTGCCTTTTTCCAAGTAGTTTACAAACTGCTGGCCCAGAGCAAGCCCTGGGGTGCAGAATATGATACTCATAGCTTTTCAGGTCAGAAATTGTAATTCACTGATGCCTTATCGACCAGACTTCTTGTCCTTTTAATTTAATCTGAGAGCAAAATACCCATTTAGCTTTTTCATCCATGCACTTTTGGAAACACTACTATTCCATTTACAAAATGACTTATCTATAACTTCCTTTATCACAGAAGGGAGAGTACTTGCTTCTCTTAACCAGAATTTGTAATTTGTTCCAGCCTGAAGCAATTATCCCAATGAATAGGCCTCTGGCTATAGCCTGAATTTTGCAACTTGCTTCCTTGACTAAAGTGCACTTTTTGCTGCTACTGTAGCACCTGTGATACCCACAGTTTCCTTAGGTTTTTACCATGCAGAAGGGATTGTGAAATGACAGCTTAGGTGGGAACAAGAGTTTCCTTGCGTCCCAGGAGTTTTGACTCAACATAAGTGACCTCTGGGTCTATAGTGTGCATTTATAAAGGGACAATAAGAGAAACAAGGATGTGTGAAATATGTAAATTAATAAAAAACTGTAGCAAAATGACCAAATCATGTATCTTGCAGTAGTGTTATTGTTTGATCTTAAAATTTAAGTAGAGACCTTATTTTGTATGTGTTTGAAGAAAAAAATCAAGTTGTCATTTATACACACAAAAAATAAGCTAAAAGGAAAACATATTCTTGTGGCATTTGCTGGGTTGATTTCATATATCTACAGATTAATATTTTGTGCATTTGAGCACTACTCCCATATTCTGTTTCATTAAATATCATCATCATGGAAGTGGGCATAATTTTCCACGTACTGATTACCAGACTGCTTTTACACAGGTGATTCGGACTAGAATACAAGCAAGTTGTCTATCATAGAGAGGACACTTTAAATGTGGTAGAAGTTTGGAAGAGTTGAATGCTTGCTTTTTCTTCATAACACCACAATTCTATTCTGTAAATGCAAGAGTTTGTGTCTAGATCATATTAATAAGCATAGAAATTGTTAGAGCCTAACTAGGCCTAGCTTGATTTCTTTTGTCTTTCTTTCTAATTGTCATTAGTCTGTGTTCTCTTTCCTTCTGAGAAAAGTAGCCTAGGTGCTCACTAAGAAGTTCCCACTACTTAACACCGGGAATGATAAATCACCCTTATTACTGTTACTAATGCCAGAAGTTACCTCCTGTTGGGGAATAGTGATGTGCATGGTGTATAGTGACTTATTCCTATTTTCTTCTCAATCATACCAACCTAAGCAGGGCAGAAGGGATGCAGCCTCACCTGATTTCTGCTCATTTGCTTAGAGTTTGCAGGGAGGACACACATGAAACTTCAGAGTTTTGCAGAGACATTTGATGGAAAAAAATGGTAACAACTTTTCCTCCTTTCGAAAGAGAATTTTATGAAAATGAAAAAGTCAATTTGGGAAAAATGTGATGTGTATATAAAAGAGATGCCTAAGTAGAAGTCACATGTAGCTCTTTGAAACTTCAAGTCCAGCACTTGGAGAAAACAGTAGAAAAGCCACCATGTGGTTTTTGTTGATAAAATTAAAAGAAATATAATAAATATAAAACAAAATAAATTTTGTATGCAAATTGAAGAAAAGTGGTTATTAATTGTTTGAATACTAAAGGAATCAGATATATAAAGTAGTGCGTCCCTTTATCTTGGTCCGGTCGGCAGCCCTCAGTATCAAAGGCCTGTGTGTGCAGGAGCCCAGTAGAGTTGCATAAACCATATGGAGGACAGATGGGGGAGAATGAGACGGGGCTGCAATAAAAGTACACAGCAGCATTTTATGTTCTTGAGCACCGTGTTAGGGAGGTGGAGCCATCTGGGGCTGGGTGGAGCCATATGGTGGCCCTGTACATGGCCCTGACAGCAACGGGGAGGAGAGGGTATAGGGGAGGAAGTAGATGGTCCTAGAGGCTGGGATGAGGGATGAGCCTGTTCTGGGTTCTCACATTCAGGGCCCACCAGAGGCTGGGGAAGGTAACTGAGCAAGAGATGTGAGTAATTCCCCACCTCTTTCCCGCAGAAGTCACTTAGTTGTGAAAAGGTAGGTGCACAGGTCCCAGTGGAAGAGGCTGTCTTTGCTCACATAGGACAAGTTGAAGTGATTACTGATTGATGTTAACATGCAAGTGGGAAAAGTTTACTGAATTGCAGGGAATAGGAGGAGAATGCCAGGGCAATTGAGATAGGCATTTCTGTTGCTACTGGAAAACAACTAAACAATTCATACAGTATTCTTTCATTAAATCAAGCTAAGTTTTAAAAGCAAAAATAACTTTAGAGATGCTACTAATGATTTTCCTAAATGACTTGATTGACACACCTACCATACTTATTGTCATAATCCTTCAAATGCATAATCCTTTCCTCCCTGGTAGTACCAGGTATAAGAAGTCATCCAGTGATATCTGTGGAATGAAGGAATGAACTAATGAATGAATGAATGAATTTCTTAAACTCTTAAATAGAAGATGAATGGGAGATGCTAATAGGGAACAAGTAAACCAACCAAGCCTTTATTTGAGTCTTCTATGCATTGCAGCCAGAATCGAAATGTTCAATAATCTATGACAGTCTCTCTTTTGTCTATTACATTAGAAATGTAACACTCCCAAATAGCATGCCACAATTTGTTGTAATCTAAATTTTTTAACATTTCTTCCTTTGTCCCATAGTTCTTCATTGTTTAAAATAGAAAAACTAAGAGTCTGGTAACTGGATATTTATTTGTGAACATGGAAAGTGATTGAAGCAGTTTTCAAAGATTTCTCTCTCTCTCTCTCTCTCTCTCTCTCTTTTTATTTCCAAGGTTCAGGTTCTGACTTGAAACATTTTGAAATGTTAGAGGAAAATCAAGCAGTTTCTGAAGCTCTGTCTTTCATCCTCTCAGAAATAGGGCAAACATCACTGGGCATGAGATTTACATGAGAGAATTATAAGGAAGGCAAGAAGGGAAAAAACAAGGAGTTGTGAGTAGAGGAGTTGGAGGGATGGAGGAACAGGTTTGGACCCAGGCAGTCCCGCTCTGTTGTGGTCACAGTGTTTACTGCACCTATTTAACCCCTTCCCCTCCCTGGAGAGGATAAAGTATGTTTTGCTTACAGATGCTTCTGTAGGAAATAATGATTTCTGTTTCAAAGCAGGGGGGAAAACTGTGGATTATATAGAGAAAAACCTTCTCATTGATTTTTCTTTCTGAATCTGTGTTATAATGAGTCTACCTTAAGGAAAATACAAGAGGAAATAATGTTATTTCCCATTTCTTAATTCCTATTTCTTTATTCATCTTTTGAAGAAAATGCACTTATGATTCCAGGTTTCCAAGAAAATCAAGCAAATAGAATAGGATAGTAGGAATAGGTAAAGCCTGCCAGCTGATTCTCATTAGACCTGACCTGATTTCGTTAAGGTATGGCTGCTTTTTTTTTTTTTTTTTTTAACTTCATGAGGTTATCATTCAGTATAGTTCATTAACGTGCCTTGGTGTGGAAATGTCTATGCAGCCTGTCTTGATCATTTTGGAATGCCTCAGTGTTGGTGGTTTGCTTTAAGCAGCACATAGTAGGTTGAACATGTGATTGAAGAAGTGAGTCATTACTGTTCTAAGGAGGCAACAACCTCTGTAAAAGTGTCAGTTTTATATTGTAGGGGTGTCTCACTCATTTGACAGAGTCCAAAAGCTCTTGATGGTCAGCCTAGTGGCTTTTTCCAAGCATTGCACTAACCAAACCTTGAGTGAAGCTAGGACAGGCACCTCATTTTCTGTTAATGGTTTTATCTTCTCCCCAGCCAGCACCGAGCTTGTAATAAGCCCTTAATATATAATTTTTGTGGAGGAAAATAAATAATGCTTTTATTCCAATTGTTGGAAAGATAGAAGACAATTTAAGTGAACTCCTTCCTTGGTTACCTTGCCTTTTAGGATATCTGGAATGATGCTGGGTGCCTCTGTTCTAGGCTTTTTCTCCCAGGTCACCAGACCATAAAAACCCTGTAGCAGCATCACTTTTATGGGACTAAAATTTTTCAAGGGTGGGTAGAGAAAGTTTTAGTTGGTGGTAAGTCTTTCCATGATTTTGTAAAATTGATATGCACATGCAATCATCTTGTATTTATGTCTTTTCTTTTTTATTTCTGTAATGTCATGTAAAAAATAGATCAGGGTAGCTTATCTGCAGCTGCACATTAGGAGCACTTTTAAAACATACCAGTGCCCAGAGATTCTGATTTAGTTGGCCTGAGTTGGGGTCTAGGTCTAATGGGCTTTAAAAGCTCCCCAGGTGATGCTAGTATGTAGCCAGGTTTGAAAGCCACTGAAATAGGACATTGACTATGTCTCACACCCTTTTTTTAAGACCTATTGCAAGTTTCTAATGGTTATAAATATACCTTTGTTTCTGAGAGTTAGGGGAATCATTCTTCCTTTCCTCCTCCTCTTTCTGACCCCTCTCCAGTGCTGTATGTCCAGCCTCATGTCTA